GCAAATTGTGTCCTTAAGACAAATATTTGTACAACATTGATATTTCACAGGGTTTTCTTCCACAAGCTTTCAACAAACTACACTTTAGCTCTAGAGAGAATTAGATCTTTTTAAAAATAAGTCTTCGTTTTCTTTTAGTATCAACACAAGAATTCTACTCCATTATATCCTGACTACCCAAATGCTTTAACAACTAAGTTATTTCCAGTACAGCTAGAAAAAGTCATATTTAACTTACATTTAAATTTTGAATTAAGAAGATCCAAATGAGACAGTCCTCAGACCACTTAGGAATCCCAGGTGTGCTGAAGTATAACCATATTAATCATACAGAGAAACATGGGTACCTTGATACCAACAAATTGACTTCAAAGTTCCCTTACATGAGACTCTAAACCAGTTGAGACCCATCATTGTTGAAGCTCTGGAGATCCACCTTGAGGACTCTCTGGCAATCTGGAAGGTGTCCAGAACTTGAGAAGAAAATTAAACCTCTTGAAGAATGGGGGTGGTAAGCACTGAGTATATGGGTATGTTTTTAACAATAATGAGTCTTTTGTGGCTACCATGTTAAGGTTTCAGGATCTGAAATGAAAGCCACACTAATAAATCATCCATAGACTTTTTTTTTTAAGTGGAACACAAGAACTTTGTCTTACTTTATGAATAAACAGGTATCTTAGTAACATGTTTCAATGAGGGACATTTTGGTTCCTTGTGTTTAAGAATGCAGCCACAGATCTACTCATAGGAAAAAGAACATGATAAAGGCATACCTTGGAGATTCTGCAGGTTTAGTTCCAGGCCACCTCAATAAGGCAAACGTTGAAATAAAGTGAGTCTCAAATTTTTCAGTTACCCAGGATATGTATATTTTACCCTACATTGTAATCTATTAAGTACACGGCAGCATTATGTATAAATAATGTACACACCTTAAGAAATACTTTATTGCTAAAAAATGCACATGATCAACTAAGCCTTCAGTGAGTCATAAAATTTTTGTTGATGGAGACTCTTGCCTCAATGTGGATAGCTGCTGACTGATCAGGGTGGTGCTTGCTGAAGATGAGGGTGGCTGGGGCAAATTTCTTAAAATAAGACACTGAAGTTTACTGCATTGATTTATTCTTTCTTTTTTTTTTTTCCTTTTTCCTTTATTATTCATATGTGCATACAAGGCTTGGTTCATTTCTCCCCCCTGCCCCCACCCCCTCCCTTACCACCCACTCCGCCCCCTCCCTCTCCCCCCCTCAATACCCAGCAGAAACTATTTTGCCCTTATTTCTAATTTTGTTGAAGAGAGAGTATAACCTATAATAGGAAGGAACAAGGATTTTTGCTGGTTGAGATAAGGATAGCTATACAGGGAGTTGACTCACATTGATTTCCTGTGCGTGGGTGTTACCTTCTAGGTTAATTCTTCTTGAACTAACCTTTTCTCTAGTACCTGTTCCCCTTTTCCTATTGGCCTCAGTTGCTTTAGAGTATCTGCTTTAGTTTCTCTGCGTTGAGGGCAACAAATGCTAGCTAGGTTTTTAGGTGTCTTACGTATCCTCACCCCTCCCTTGTGTGCTCTCACTTTTATCATGTGCTCATAGTCCAATCCCCTTGTTCTGTTTACCCTTGATCTAATGTCCACATATGAGGGAGAACATATGATTTTTGGTCTTTTGGGCCAGGCTAACCTCACTCAGAATGATGTTCTCCAATTCCATCCATTTACCAGCGAATGATAACATTTCGTTCTTCTTCATGGCTGCACAGAATTCCATTGTGTATAGATACCACATTTTTTAATCCATTCGTCAGTGCTGGGGCATCTTGGCTGTTTCCATAACTTGGCTATTGTGAATAGTGCCGCAATAAACATGGGTGTGCAGGTGCCTCTGGAGTAAGTCTTTTGGGTATATCCCCAAGAGTGGTATTACTAGATCAAATGGTAGATCAATGTCTAGCTTTTTAAGTAGCCTCCAAATTTTTTTCCAGAGTGGTTGTACTAGTCCACATTCCCACCAACAGTGTAAGAGGGTTCCTTTTTCCCCCGCATCCTCGCCAACACCTGTTGTTGGTGGTGTTGCTGATGATGGCTATTCTAACAGGGGTGAGGTGGAATCTTAGCGTGGTTTTAATTTGCATTTCCTTTATTGCTAGAGATGGTGAGCATTTTTTCATGTGTTTTCTGGCCATTTGAATTTCTTCTTTTGAGAAAGTTCTGTTTAGTTCACTTGCCCATTTCTTTACTGGTTCATTAGTTTTGGGAGAATTTAGTTTTTTAAGTTCCCTATATATTCTGGTTATCAGTCCTTTGTCTGATGTATAGTTGGCAAATATTTTCTCCCACTCTGTGGGTGTTCTCTTCAGTTTAGAGACCATTTCTTTTGGTGAACAGAAGCTTTTTAGCTTTATGAGGTCCCATTTATCTATGCTACCTCTTAGTTGCTGTGCTGCTGGGGTTTCATTGAGAAAGTTCTTACTTATACCTACTAACTCCAGAGTATTTCCTACTCTTTCCTGTATCAACTTTAGAGTTTGGGGTCTGATATTAAGATCCTTGATACGTTTTGAGTTAATCTTGGTATAGGGTGATATACATGGATCTAGTTTCAGTTTTTTGCAGACTGCTAACCAGTTTTCCCAGCAGTTTTTGTTGAAGAGGCTGCTGTTTCTCCATCGTATATTTTTAGCTCCTTTGTCAAAGATAAGTTGGTTATAGTTGTGTGGCTTCATATCTGGGTCCTCTATTCTGTTCCACTGGTCTTCATGTCTGTTTTTGTGTCAGTACCATGCTGTTTTTATTGTTATTTGATTTATTCTTTCATAAAAGATTTCTCTATAGCATGTGATGTTGTTTGATGGCATTTTACCCACAGCAGAATTTCTCTCAAACTTGGAGTCAGTTCTCTCAATTCCTGCTGCGGCTTCATCAACTAAGTTCATGTAATACCCTAAATCCTTTGTTGTCATCTCTATAATTTCCACAGCATCTTCTTCAGTAGATTCCATCTTAAGAAACCACTTTCTTGACACATTTGTAAGAAGCAACTGCTCATCTGTTAAAGTTTTATCATGAGATTGTAGTAACTTAGTCACATCTTGGACTTCACTTCTATACTGAAAGTTTGTTGTTCAGTGTAGCCACCTTCATCAACGATCGTAGCTGGATCTTCTGGATAGCCTGCTGAAGCTTCCATCTTAGCACTGCACTTGCCACTTTATCTTACGCTTTAATGTTGTGGAAGTGGCTTCTTAAACTTCATGAACCAACCTCTGCTAGCTTCAAACTTTTCTACCATTGCTTCTTTACCTTTCTCAGCCTTCAAAGAACTGAAGAGAGTTAGGGCCTTGGTCTGAATTAGGCCTTTGGCTTAAGGGGATGGTTGTGGTTGGTTTGATCTTCTATCCAGACCATTAAAACTTTCTCCATTTCAGTTATAAGGCTGTCTCGTTTTTGCATCCTTGTGTTCTCTGGAATAGTATTTTTAATTTCCTTCAAATACTTTTCCTTTGCATTCACAACTTGACTGTTTAGCACAAGAGGCCTAGCTTTTGGCCTGACTTGGCTTTTGACATGCCTTTCTCACTAAAGTTAATCATTCCTAGCTTTTGATTTAAAGTAAGAAATACTCAACTTTTCCTTTCACTTGAATGCTTAAGAGTGTTGTAGGAAAGCTCAGACAGAGACAGCACCATAGCTTTCGGGAAGCAAGTTTGTTAAGCAGGATGGCAGTGACTCAGCAGATTCGCGTTTCAGGTTTCTCTGAGCCCTGAGGACAAAGAGGGCTTTCCTTATATACCATTTACAGCAGGTTACAGAAATGGGGGGTACAGGGGTACAGCTTGTTTCATACATGGTCACATAGTATTTCTTTGGCTATTTTAACCTCTGGGGCAAGATGACCCTTCTCTTATGTCACCCCAGGTGTTATATGACTTTCCTCAAATTCGTTTTGTTTTTTTTCACTGTTGCACTCATTATCTCGCATTACCTCCCTTCCTCCTCCCTGCCTTCCTGCCACAAGAGGTCAATGAGGGATTACAACTGGCCTGATTTCAATAGTTTTGTGTTTGCGGGTAACAGGATGAAGAGGTTGCTGGAGCAGTCAGAACACTCACAACATTAAGTTCACTGTCTTATATGGATGCAGTTTATAGTGCCCCAAAACAATTACAATAGCAACATCAAAAATCACTGATCATAGATCACATAACAGATATAATGAAAAAAGTTGAAATACTGCAAAAAAAAATCAAAATGTGACAAAAGTGAGCACATGCTGTTGGAAAGATTCCACCAGTAGATTTGCTCAAGGAAGGATTGCAACAAAACTTCAGTTTGTAAAAAATAATAAATTTAATAAATCGCAGAATCTGAAATGCGGTAAGACAAGGTATGCCTATTATGCAGTTCCAAATCGTCCAAGTTGAACAGGACGCATTAAGCATTGGGTAGTGATGGCCAATGTCTTTAATGGAGGTCGCCAGAACCTAAGAAATTGGGGTCCTACTACCCTCCTGAGTCAAGGGTCAAAGAACCATTCCCAAACTCAGGAACTAGAGGCTCCCAAAATGGCCGCTGCGTCCTCTTCCCAGCCCTGGAGTTCAACCTTCGGGGAGAACGTCACGTCACCAAGGCAACGACGCTCTTGCGTAAGGCCGTAAGGCCGCGCGCGAGGAAAAGCCCTGAGTCGGCGCTGTAGCCCGCTGGCTGCTAGTGCGCTGCCTGGGCCCAAGCAGCAACCAGAGCCCAACGATTCCCACGGCCCCGCACAGGCAAGCACTGGCCCTGGCCTGGCGCGAAGGCAGCGCGCCTCCCTCGCGCTCAGCCTTGCTTGGCCGGCCTCGGCAGGGAGCGGAGCCCGGGGAGCGGAGCCCGGCGACGGCCCCGCCCCCAAGCGCGCACGCGCACTGCCCCTCTCCGGTGGCGCAGGCTGGAGTTGACGTTAGCCATGGAAACCGGGAGCGGCAGGGGAGGCGCTGCGCTGCGCTCGTGGCGTGGCGGCTGCAGCTTTTCTCTGCTTCCGCGTCCCGGCGGGGGCGCCCGACTCAGTTTACCGAGAAAAATGCATTCTCCGGGATGCCTTCGCGTCTCGTCTTCCCTCGGGTGACTCGAGGTATGTTCTGTCCCCGACACCCACCTGAGGACTTCGAGGCCTTGGTTTCCTTGCCTGTGCACGGCCGCGTTGTCCCCTCAGTTTTTATGCCACCAGAAACAGATTTTTTCGTTCTCTGTTATAAAGCCTTTAATGCGATCATTGCACTTTGAAGGTGTAAAATGAACTCCGTTGTTAGAGGTAGTGATCAGGGTGGGTTTAAATTGACTACAAAAAGAGTACTTCTTTTGTTTTGAGAGACCCCTGGGAAATGGAGAATGGCCCTTTGCGATTGAGGGATGGTCTTGATATCCCAGTAAAGTTGACCAACTGGGCCCTTTAGGTGGCACTGCACTCTTTCTTGCCTTACCTGCAGCTAAACCCCCTTTGTCACAAATTTGTCATCTTATGGCCCCCTAAACATGAATGGCTCCTTCCCTACTGGCTGTTGTTCTCCATAGCCCTCGGCCTGTGAAGGACCAGACTTTACTTTCCATGAAGTCTGCACCCCCATAGGAAGTTACTTACCACGCTTCTGGATTCGCTGCTCTCTTTAGTCATTCATTTTTCACTATTGGTAGGTGTTTTGTACTTTTTATCTAGTCGTTCCTGCAGTTGGGGCACCCATATTATTTGATATCTCCTGCCGCACGCCCCAAATAGCATTCAGTTCAGATATTGCCATTTTAGTGATTTAACTGTTTGGAGCACCTATTGGTTTCTTTTCCTTTTCCTTTTTAAAGAGCTGCCTATTAGTTATGAACTGCTGTAGAAAATACTAGGCAGGGACTCTCTTTTGTCATCGTGAGAGTTTTATTGAGATATAATTCACATTCTGTACAATTCACCTATTTAAAGTGTACACTTTTTAGTATGTTCACAGAATTATCTAACCATTACCACAGTCAGTTTCAGAACATTTTCATCATCCTGAAAAAAAACTGTGGATGATGGAGGGGGTGAATTCAACTTTGATATGTTGTAAGAGCTTTTCTAAATGTCACAATGTACCCCCAGGACAATAATATAAAATAAAGAAACTTTGTACCTTTTAAGCAGTTGCTCCACCCCCAAACACAAAGTATCACTGCCCCCATTAATCTAGGAAACCATTAATCTGTTTTCTGGTTTACAGATTTTCTTATTCTGGATTTTTCATATAAATGGAATCTTACGATACATGAGGAGTTTTGTAACTGGCTTTTTCACTTAGCACAATATTTTCAAGGTTTGCCCACTTGGAAGTGCATATATTCTTTACTGTTTATAATCTCATAGTGTTACATTATGTGGATGTGCCCCATTTTATTTATACATTCAGCTGTTGATGCACATTTGAGTTGCTTCCCTGTTTTTAGCCAGTGGTAACATTTCTGCTTTGAATGTTCTTGAATAAATTTTTCTGTAGGCATAGTTTTCATTTCTCTTGGGCATAATACCTGAGTGGGTCCTATGCTGGTTCATATCGTAATTCTGTGTTTAGCCTTTTGAGGAACCACCACATTTTTTCCAAAGTGGCTATACATTTTACACTTCCACCACATGTGTTTGAGGGTTTTAATTTTTTCCATAACCTCACCAATACTTGTTATTGTCTGTCTTTTTCACTTTATCCAGTTAAGGGATCTGAAATGGTAGCTCACTGTGGTTTTGATTTGCATTTCCCTAGTGAGAAGTGATGTCGAGCTTCATTTCCTGGGTTTATTGGCTACTCATATATCATCTTTGGAGAAATGTCTATAGAAACCTTTTGCCTATTTTTTAAAATTGGGGTTTTTATACAGATCTTTTATATATGATTTGCAAAAGTTTTCTCCCATTCTGTAAATGGTTTTCACTTTCTTGATGGCAAGATTTTTTTTTTTTGTACTGGAGTTTGAACTCTGGGCCTTGTAATTGCTAGGCAGGTACAACTTGGACCACCAGCCCTTCCTTGCTTTAGTTGTTTTTCTGATAGGATCTCATGTTTTTGCCTGGGGTGTGGCTTCAGATCATAATCCTCCTGCCTACATCTTTCATAGCTGCGATTACAGGTGTGGGCCACCACACCTGGGCACTTCTCTTTTAAATATGTTCCTATTTATCAAACAGTAGTAGGTATCAGTGACGTCATGCTGGCTTAACTATAAAAAGCTTCCCGTTTTGATATTTTGTACATATTTCTCAGATTCACCATTCCATGAAGAACCCTTTCTAGACTCAAAATTTCCTTTCATTCAGCAGTAGCTTGGTATGATCCAAAAATTCAATATGCCAACACCTAACACTGCATCTTAGTTAAATCACTTAATATCAGTGGTTCTCAGTTTTCTTTTCTGTAAAATTATTTATTTGTAGTAATTCATACTTTACTCACATAGTCCTAATTTGAAAGAAAAGCTGTCTACTCAGTTGAATTTATTGTGGGTAAGATGTGAGGCATGGGAAGGGTTAGATAGGATAGGGACAGAAGTATTACCTGGACCTACAGTGTGATTATGATGCTTTGGTGTGATCTCCAGCTGCCATTTTTTTAGTTTCCTAAATAGAAATAGAATGCTATGCATTGATGTTCTGGGGTTGTAATTTTGGGAAGGAGAAACATAGAACCACTCAACAACTCATTGGTCTGCTTGTGAAGCACTGCCAATACCTGCAGCAGTCCTTTTCAGTTGTCCAGTCACCCTTCCCATCCAGTCAGAGTTTTCTTTACGGACCAGTTTGTATGGTCTTACTGAAGACTCTTAAATTCAAGGACCCTCCAAAAGTTTTAATTTTTAATAAATACTATTTTGCAGATCCAAAAAGATATAATGTCTTTCTTCTTTCCTTTAAAAACTCTTTTCAGTTTCAGGTGCTTGGGTAGATTTTCCTTCCATGTAGATGGAGATGAATACTTAACACACATGCATTATAAACCAAAAGCATGCAATACATTTTTTCATGTTTAAGCATCAGATGTATTTAAAAAGAATTTAGCTGAATCTCAGCTCATCAGGAGGATTGCAGTTTGAAGCCAAACCAACAGAAAGCTAGCAAGACTTTATCTCAACAAATAAGCCAGGCATGGTGGTTTATGCCTTTCCCAGCTATGTGGGAGGCAGAGGTAGGAGGATTGTGGTCCAAGGTCATTCCTAGGCAAAAAAAAGTGGACACTATCTGAAAACTTAAGCAAAAAAGAGCTGTGGCATGGGTCAAGTACTAGTACATTTGCCTAGCAAATGTTTTGTGTTGAGTTCAAACCCTGTTACTGCCAAAAAAAAAAGAAAGAATTTAGCTGTTTGTCAATGACATGGCATTCAGTTAAGATCCCACAGCGTACGTTCAGAATTTATAGTAGTAGCTACTTTCGTATCTCTAATTCCTACTGGAGCACTAAACAGCACTGGGCTGTCAAAAATGCACATCAGCATATTTTTTTTAGAACTGCTCTAGTGGTAACGTGATTTTTATTCAAAGCAATGAAAATTAAGTTCTTCTATATCGTATCTTTTGAGTGTAGTCTGGTTTGTTTCTTTTTCAGACATGAAGTTTTCTGTTTTCAAAATTAGTAAATGCAGTAAAACTTCACTATGATTCCTTTCAAATTTTAAATTGCATTTTAGAGTACAAGTGACTGCATCCTATTCATAGAATAATATGACAAATTTTTAAAAAGTAAACTTCACAAAACAAAACCCAGACAATTGTTAAAATTCTGTACCTAGGAACTTACTTATTTTTGTTGACCTTAGAGAACGACATGTTAGTATAATCCAAACTGTTACTTTTCATTATTTCTTTCTTTGCTTTATGGGATTTTTAGTCAGGTGTCATGTATGAGTTAAAGTTTACGGAATTAAAGTTTTGATAAGTAATAATTCCTTCCCAGTAGCCTGCCAATTTGATCTATTTCTTACCCTTTCACAAGAAATATGACTGAGATGTTAAACAAAGCAACGTGCCTATTCTGTTGGCCCACTTTCAGTGTAGCATACGAAGAAAACATATGGCCTAAATCAGTGTTATGACGCTGTCTTTATCCCTTAAGCTCCCTTTTCACAGTTTTTGTTTCCTCAGTCTTGAACCATTTTTCATTTAAACATGGTAGAGGTAGCAGCCATGTAAATATATCAGTCCTGCCAAGAATTAGCAGTCTTTCAGAAGCATATGCCAAGCTCTCACTCAAGGGAGTAAGTTTAGTTATTCTAATCTTATTTTTAATGTTAGATAATCCAGATTAGCATTTAGGATACTTCTCTATGTAATTGTAACTTTTGCTTCCTACAAAGAAAGTATTTTAAAATTCTTTAGCATTTTTAAATGATCCGGGATCTGTGCCTCCTGCTACCAACATGAACTTTCCTCCTTTCATAATGATGATAGAGATTAAGCCATAGCTTAGGACAGGAGTGAATTAAAAATCAACTTCAGACGTCTTAAAATTCTCCATTTTCCACAGTAGAAAACCAGCCACATCTTTCCCTCAATTCCATCCTGCTTCTTTGTTGCTTTGGGATATAGAGCTGCAGGCAGAATCTTCTCTGAACCAATAATATTATCAACAGGTGCCATTACTACATCTATAACAAAAATGAATGGAGATACTTTATACATGTTTCAAAACTGGGAATATTCAGTTTATGTGTTTACTGTTTTGAGTGGGGCAAAGTATGGTACAAGAAATTTCAAAAATACTCCCAGCTTTCCTTTAAAACAGGAAAAATCATGTTTTCCAAGTTCAATCATCTTTTTAAAGCATGTCATTCATATATTACATGCCAGGGATCAAAAGAATCTCGAGATTTGGCCCCTGCCCACAAATAACTTATTGCTAATAGGGAAAAGAAATACATATGAAAAGGTAATATGCAAATAGATGAGCAATGCAAGAAATTCCTACAAGAAATGCCCAAAGTTAGTACATATTACAAGATGAGTAGTATAAAACAGTGTTTTTCTCTCTCTCTCTCTCTCTCTCTCTCTCTCACACACACACACACACACACACACACACACACACAGATAGAAGAGAGACACAGGTAGGCCAAAGTACTTTGCAAAATTTTTTTCAGAAATGATTAAATCAGGTCTTAAAGTTGACTAAAATCACTGGTTAGGAAAGAGAAGAAAGTAGATCCTAGGCAAAGGAGAGGACATGAGCAGAGGTACCCAGCAGGAAAAGAACAGGGTTTATTTGTAGGACATGGAGTTGAAGTTCTAAAGAGCATTTGGAAATTTGAAAGTTTCTAATGCTGAATATAAAATACACAGAGAATTTACTTAGTGTCTCTTCTGAAACTTCTAACACATGTGCAAACTATATATAACCACATACTGTGTGCTCTCTCTCTCTGTCTCTCTCTCTCTCTCTCTCTCACACACACACACAAATGGAATAAACTATTTATTTTACTTTTCAGTATATCATGGGCATATTTCCATGTCTCCACATCAACAATAGAACATCAGAATATTCCACTGTTTGGAATATGATCACAAGAGTATTCTACCAGATGGATGAAAACATTTACACTAAACTTCACAAAAGATTCAGAACTACTAAGAAAAAAATGGATATGGATAGTAACATGCAGTTAATCAGGTTTATACCATATCACATTCTGGCTTTCTTTCCAGCAAGCCAACCTGCCTTATTCCTGCCTCCCTTCAATGGGGCAGAAGGGGCCAGGTTTGTTTCTTTAAAACTCCATGGGAGAACTTCAGTTACATCAAAACTTTTGCTATACAGATTTTTATTGAAATGCTACTTATTTGAGCAAGATTTGAATTTTTAGATTATTAGGAAATTTTAAACTTACTGTAACTATTAAGTGATATTCTTAACACTTAGTATTTCTATTTTCTATTTCCATTTGAATTTGAGGGAATATCCTTATTTTATACAGTGGGGGTTGGCACACTATGGCCCTCAGTCTAACTCTGGCCCATAGCCTATTTGGTTAAATACTGTAAAGTTTTATTTGACTACAACTACTCACATTCCCTTTATGACCGCTTTGTGGTACAACAACAAGGTAGAGTCGTAACAGAGCCCACAAAGCTGAAAATATTTCCTATCTGGCCATTTGGAGAAATAGTTTGCTGACCCTTATAATAGAAGAAAAAGTTAAAACAGCAAAAACTCACTAGCAAATGATGGAACTACTGGCATATTTGAATTGAGAGTACTAGCTTTTTGAACTTTAACCTCAGAATTTTAAAATACAAATTAAGATCTAATTCAAAATAGGTAAATTAATAAAGAATATTCTATCTTTAAAAACTAAAAAAGCATATTTAGTTTTAAAAAATAAATAAAATTTGTTTTATTTAAGAAAATTAATGCCAAGTGTGAGTGAGGCAATGGGAAGGAGCCCAAGAAGTTATAAATCCTGCCCTTAAAGGAATTAAGGAGATAAAATAGAAATGTAGAGTGGTTTTGTTTCCCCCCAAGGTTTTAAGTGTGACATTTTCAAATGGTGATTGTTTATTTTTTTTTTTTTCTTTTTCATAGAGACTGCTGATTCTGAAAAGGGATGTGACTTTCAGAATAATCCAGAATGAGAAGCATGAGTCCAAATGTCCCTCTGCTGAATGATTACAAGCAGAACTTCCTTCTAAAGCGCTTTCCACAGACTATTCTTGGAGGCCCACGACTCAGATTAGGCTACTATGCCCCTCCTTATATATATGTCAATCAAATTATCCTTTTTCTGATACCATGGGTTTGGGGTGGAATAGGAACACTCTTGTACCAGTTAGATGTCCTGAAAGATTATTACACAGCAGCTCTTTCAGGTGGACTAATGCTGTTCACTGCATTTGTTATCCAGTTCACAAGTTTATATGCCAAAATCAAGTCGGCAACAGTAGAAAGAATGCTAACCACAGATATTTTAGCAGAAGAAGATGAGCATGAATTTACAAGTTGTGCTGGTGCTGAGACTGTCAAGTTTCTAATTCCTGGCAAGAAATATATAACCAACACAGTTTTTCATTCTGTTCTTGCTGGCCTGCTGTGTGGTCTTGGAACATGGTATTTGCTTCCAAATAGAATAACCTTGCTGTATGGCAGTACTGGAGGCGCTGCTCTGCTCTTTGTTTTTGGATGGATAACACTATGTATAGGAGAATATTCATTAATTGTAAACACAGCTATAGAGACTGCAACTTTCCAAACCCAGGATACTTACGAAATCACTCCTCTCATGAGACCTCTTTATATTTTTTTCTTTGTTTCTGTGGATCTTGCACACAGGTAAAAACCTATCAAATATTTTATAACTTTCTTTGTTTTCAGGTATACCTGGTAAGAGAACTCACCTTAATGTTTAAAAATAATAAATCTGTGAATTAAAACTCATCAAGCCCAAACTATTGGGTGATCAGTTGCTTTGATGAATACTCTTAGAACTAGTCTCTGTAAAACATTCATATTATAAAACTGTAGATAAATATTATTGAAGAATCAAAAAAAATGCCCTTTTAAAGATAAGTGAGCAATTTTTCAGTCCTGTGTGTCATTTTTAAAAATCTATGATATAGCCTGGCTGAAACCTATGAAAAGAAATAAAACTTTTGGGGTCAGGAGGACATAATTTAAAATTCATATCAATAAGTATTATGTACAGATTAAGTGAACTTAGATGAATAGAAAATTTATTTTAACTTTGTTATAGTAGCAATATGTAGAAGAGATATTAATTTTTAAATTAGTTATAGAAGAAAAATAAATATTTTTTTAAATATAACTTACAGAATTGTTTGAGAAATACCTTTTGCTCGGTTTTTCTAAGTCTGACTTTTCTTTCTCTGTTTCTGTAGATTGCAGCTTTCTCTTTCCCACGTTAGTGTACAGGTAGAAATGTGCAGGCATGTTATGGACTGAATGTTTATGTCCCACAAAATCATATAATGAAGTCCTAAACTCAAATGTGAAGTTATTTGGAGATGGAGCCTTTGAGAAATAGTTAGGTCATGAAGGAGGGGCCCTAGTCTGATGGGATAGTGAGACAAGGAGAACTTGAACTTTTTTTCTCTCTGTCACTGCCATATGATGACATAGCAAGAAGGCAGCTATCTGTAAGCCAGAAATAAAGTCCTCACCAGAAATTGACTGATCTTGAACTTCTAACCTCCAGAAGTGTGAGATAATAAATTTCTGTTGTTTAAGTCATCCAATCTATGTTATTGTGTTATAGCAGCCCAAACTAAGATTTTGGTTCTGAGAAATGGAATACTGCTCTAACAAATATGAAAAAAAAAAAGTAGAGGTGGTCTTGTAACTGGGTAGTGGGTAGAAGTAAAAGACTTTTGGCATACATGCTAGAAATTGATACATTAAAGGTAATTCTAATGAGGTCACAGATGGAAATAAGGAGCATGTTATTGAAAACTGGAAGAAAGATAATCCTTGTTATAAAGTGCCAAGGAACTTGGCTACACTGTGCGCTAGTATTTTGTGTAAGTTAGAACTCATAAATGATGATGTTGGATTTTTAGTTAAGGAGATTTTGAAGCAAAGTGTTGAAGAAACAGCTTGATTCTTCTTGACTGTTCATAGTAAAATGCAAAAGGAGAGAAATGAAGAAAGAGGTGTTAATCCAAACAAAAAGGAACCAGAACTTGAAGATTTGGGAAATTTCAACCTATCCATATTGTAAAACATAAAAAAGCATATTCTGGTGAGAATACAACAAGGGCATGGCTGGATTACCGCTTACTAAAGTATTTATGGGATTGTGTGAGCAGAACCATTGCTGGTTTAACTTTAACTTGAAAGGGACAGAGGCAGGGTGAAATGCAGGAAGGTTGCTGAACTTCCTGGATTTGACAGGAGGGGATGCTAGAACCACTCAGCTATGACAGTGTGCCCTTCTCCAAGTAAAGGGAAGAAAATTATGCCCAAGGTGGTTCAGAGATCATCAGGGCCACCACCTGTTTCAACAGGCTTAGATGACCTTCACCTAAACCTTTGAGGCAAGACTATGCTTCAGAACCACAGGAGCATGACCCCCACCTAGATCTACAAGAGTGACACTGCTACTCCAGCGGCCTAGTAGACACAGTACAGAACTGAGGAGAATTATTCTCAAGCCCTAAGATCTAATGAGGTTTTTCTTACTAGGTTTTGGACTTCCTTCACCCCTTCCTTTTTTTTCTATTTCTCCGTTTTGAACTGGTGGTGTTTCTCATATGCCTGTTCCACCATTCTATTTTGGAAAGACATAACTTACCTAGTTTCACAGGTTCACAGCTAAAGAGATATTTTGCCTTGGGATGAAACTGAGGTTTTACCCATATCTAATTTAGTTGATCCTTAGAAGTGACTTTAGAGTTAATGCTGGAAAAAAGTTAAACTCTAGGGCTGTTGGAACAGAATGAATGTATTTTGCATGTGAGAAGAGCATGAATTGGGGGCAGTGCAGGGATGGAATGTCATAGACTGAATCATGCCCCCCTACACACAAAATTCTTATGTTGAAACCACAGCCCTCAATATCTTACTTGGAGACAGGGCCTTTGGGAAGTGATTGGGTCATGAAAGAGGGGCCCTCCTGTGATGGGATTAGTCTCCTTTAAGAAGAGACCAAAGTAAGCTTGATCTCTCTCTCTCTGCAATGTGAGGACACAGCAAGAAGGTAGCCGGCCACCTGTGAGCCAGGAAAAGAGCTCTCACCAAAACCTGATCTTGCTGGCACTGTGGTCATCGACTTACAGCCTCCACAACTGTGAGAGAATAATTTCTGCTGCTTTAAGCCACCCAGACTATTGTATTTTGTTATGGCAGGCCTAGCTAAGACAAAGTGTTTACAAGTACTTAGTCTGCTCCTTAACTCCTAATCTCTTGGAGTGTGCTACATTCATGGACCAAAGGACAATATAACACCCATATAATTCTTCATCTAATTAATATGTGAGGGAAGAATTAATAACAAGGAAGTTTATCTATAATTGGTTTCTTAATATCTAACTATAAAATACTAACTATAAAATACATAATAGTTTAATGCTTGATTTTTAAGTTAGCAGTAAAATTGAATTTGTATGTATACATAAATCCAACTTTAAGATTTAAGTTTTTAAGATTATTTTCAAAACACAAAATTCTTGAGTTGCTGTCTCACTATACCATTTTTGAAATCAGATATATCCTTGCATATATCTTCACATTTAAAGTGAAGTCCAAAGTCCTTGATTTTATTTTTAAAAATTGCAGTGAATTTTTCATTTCATTACCTTGACTTTTTGTTACTCATCTAAATGAAAGTGCATAGAAGGTGTTTCACTGAATTTTTATTGGATTTAAACTTTTAATGTTTAAAGTTTGATAATTACAAAGATTCTTTTTACTATGACTAAAAGACAAAGGCAGCCCTCCACATCTGTTTTCCATTATAAATGACCAGTTTACATGGGAAAATTACTTCTCGTTACAGTTTTAGAAAATATACCTTCTGAAGAACAAAGTAATAAAGAATTGAGATGATACAGTAAGTATGGTAATGCAGCTAAACCATGTATGAAATGCGTTCACTCTTCAAATCTGAATGATGGGTAGAAATACTAAATTGCTTCTCGGTTTTATCAGAGGATGTGAGGGAGCTGAAGAAATGCAAACCATAAATAGTGTTATGAATTTTCTCTTTCTCCATACTTTATTCTACATGAGCAATTGTGTTATAGTAATTTTTATTTTATCAAAACCATGTATTAGTTAAATCTATAGTGCTTAGCTCAGAGACTCTTAGGGATTGAATAAATGATGTATCTTTTTTCATGGCACTCACATGCCATTAGTTTGCAGAATGAAATATTTTTATAGTTGTTAGGTTCAAAACAGTTTTTTTCTTAAGAATTTACATTTTTTTTAACCCTAGAAAATTCCTGTTGCATTATCAGAAACATTAACTAACATTTTTCCACATAAAAGAATTTGCCACAATAATCATCTACTTGGGGCTGAGTTATATAAATGAAAAAAAAATCAGTACTTGATTACTATAATTTTGTGTACTTATATTTATCTATACTATCCTTATAAGTATGTTTTTGCTTATTATTTAAAAACAAAAAGACAGCTATAGAACCTAATTTAGGTAAAATATTTCCTGAATATACATTTTTGTACAAATTCTGTCCTTGAACATGTTTTCAAGAGATGTGTTATCTTCAAAAAAAATTGCACAAATCTGTGTGGTTTTTTTTACCTTTCCATCGCTTTTTCTCTATGGTTTGATTTGTTGTTGTTGAGTGTTTTCTTCTCAGGATGAGATTAATTCTATCTTAAAATCACACTACAGAAAGTATGGTCTTCTAATTTAGTATCACACTGTTAACCTTGTGTTCTTTAGTTCTCTGCTTTTAACAGTCTGACTGACATGTATTGTGAGGTCCTGTATTACGACATAATTCTGGTATCTGATGAAACATTTTTATAACATTATATCCATATGCATTTGCTTTTGAACTGTTAACATATACTGAAGTGTGTAAATAATTGCAGAAGTTTTCCTCTTTGACTTTGATTCCTAGTAGTTCAAGTATCCATGTAAAATTATGCTATAAGTTTTGAGCTTTAGTTTTCTTTTTTGAAAGTCTTTAGTAATCCATAAGTACTCTGACCTTATTGGTCTCTGGACACAATGTTTGGTTAGCCTTAATCCAAAAGCCTATTAATTAACATAGCAGTATGTTAATGTTCCTGTGCTTTAAATTTTATCAAATTATTTGAAGCAATTTAATAATGTTATATTTAACTGTATATAACAAGTATCAGTTTCACCATAAGGTAGAGGCAGCCCCCATCCTGTGAGGAGATTGCATTGCACAGTTTGTGTTCTCCAAGCCACACCATTGCTTATACAAAATAAAACAGTATTATAGATGCTACTTAAGTTCCCAGGATAAACTACAGAGATGTAGTCATAGCCCAAGTTGTGCTCTACTGATACTATAATGACTTCAAATTCTGAGATCTGAGAGAAGGGCAGAGCAGGAGAAAGGAGGAGGAGGGAAATTGTGTATTTGTGAGCTACCCATGCATGAATGTTAAGGCTTTGCATTCCCAATGTTACTTGCAATTTTAAATTAGGTTTGAACTCTAAAGAATCATTGGTAGAATTTCACCCAAAGTAGTTTAGATTTAGGGGGGAAATATTGTTGCTCTGGCCTCAGTTGTTTCACAAATCCCTACATTTAATTTTATTACTATACAATGATTTGATGAAACAATCAGCTTTCAGTTGTTTCTTCCTTTGCATATTTGAATCCATATGTAAAGCTTGTGCACAATTGAGGTAGTGTCACAATATGCATTTATAGTATATAGATATGTGTAGAAAGTGTTCCTTTCTTTGTTAGTGTGTGTATGTGTCTGTGTTTAGGAAAGAGCTTTTGTATATTATTTTGTATGACTTAAATGTTTTCTTTTTCTTATAGATTTGTTGTAAATATTCCAGCTCTAGAACAAATGAATCAGATCTTACACATCTTGTTTGTATTTTTGCCCTTTTTGTGGGCACTTGGGACTCTGCCCCCGCCTGATGCCTTTTTCTTTTGGGCAATGGAGCAAGTTTTAGGGTTTGGTCTTGGAGGTTCATCTATGTCAACTCACCTACGGTAATTTTTTTACCAAAAAAAAAAAATTGAAGTTATATGTAATTTCTTAAAAGAACATGTTTCTTTTCAAGTAAGTCTTTTTTTTCTTCTTTCCCTCTGCAGGTTATTAGTAATGTTTATCATCTCTGCTGGAACAGCTATAACATCATATTTCATTCCCAGCACTGTTGGTGTGGTTCTTTTCATGACTGGACTTGGGTTCTTACTGAGTCTTAACTTAAGTGACTTGAGTTTTGTCTTCAAACACAGTGGAGTAGGAACCAACTCAAAGGCTTCACCCAGTGATTCAGAAAAATGGTTTATGTGGAAGCATTGCCTTTTTTATGTCATTATATTAGTCTTTGCTCTCTTAGAAACTAGTTTGCTACATCACTTTGCTGGTTTCTCACAGATTTCCAAAAACAGTTCCCAGGCTATTGTTGGCTATCTTTTGATGACACTACTTATAACACTGTGGATACTTAGAGAAATTCAAAGCGTCTATATCTTTGGAATCTTCCGAAATCCTTTCTATCCAAAGGATGTACAAACAACTGTGACTATATTCTTAGAGAAGCAAACAAACCTTCTCAAGATTGGTGTTGTCAGACGAATTTTGCTGACTCTAGGTAGGAAGATAAAATCAACTAACCTTGTATTACAAAACATATCCTAGTAGTGTTCAAAAATACGAAATTCTCATTTGTGTGGTATGATACTGCATGCAAGTGTTAATTTATTTGCCAAGATAAACTATGGTAGAGGAAGTTACTTTGCATTAATCAAGCTTACCTTTTTTGTTTTGTTTTAGTATCACCTTTTGCTATGATAGCATTTCTTTCATTGGATAGTTCCTTACAAGGGCTCCATTCTGTGTCTGTCTCCATTGGATTCACAAGAGCTTTTAGAATGGTAATCCTAATCTGCACTTAATAATATTTTTCTAACTGTGCTTATAGTATCAGATCCTTCCCAATGACAGTGGGTAATTTGTATACCACAGGTATGGCAGAATACAGAAAATGCTTTATTGGAGATAGTCATTGTATCAGTGATGCACTTATTGATCTCTAGTACTGACTCATGGTGGAACAGAAGCTTGAATACAGGAATAAGACTCTTATTGGTAAGTGTATACTATTTAATGGTATATATCCCAAGTTTCGCTGCCATAATCAAAATCTAATTTTAGGACATTTTTAACATCCTCAAAAGAAACTTCATGTACATTAATGGTCATTTCCTAGTCCCACTCTCCATTCCATCTACACCCACTGCAGACCCAGCAACCACTTGCATATTTTCTGCCTCGAGATTTGCTCCTTTTGGATATATTGCCTCAGTGGAATATTTTGGAATAAATGGTCTTTTGCATCTGGTGTCTTTAATTTCTGCATTCAAAAGGTTCATCTATGTAGGATGTATCAGTACTTAATTCTTTTTATTGCCAAATAACATTCCATTATATAGATACAGCACATTTGGTTGATTGACTCATCAAATGATAGATTTTTAGGTTGTTTTCACACATCACAATTAAAAAGAATATTGTTATGGACATTTCTGTACACATTTTTGGTTGGACATGTTTTTATTTTCCTTGGGTATAGTATACCCAGGACTTGAATTTCTGGTTATCTAGTAATTCAATATTTAGCACTTCAGGGTTCTGCACACTGTTTTCCAAGGAAGCTATGCAATTTTGTATTTCCATTACAAGTCTATAAGGGTTTCAGTTTCCCCATATCCTCACCAGTACTTGTTATTACCTGACTTTTCATTATAGCCATTCTCAGGGGTGTGAACTACTATTTTGTTGTAATTTTTATCTATATTTATCTGATGACTGATGATGCATCTTTTCACTAGCCACTAGTGTTTTTTTGGATTTGTATCTAAATCCTTTGTTCATTTTTATTTGGATTATTTGTGTTTTTATTGTTGAGCTATAAGAATTCCTTCTGTATACTAGATCCAAGTTCCTTGACTGATATATAGTATGCAAAATTTTCTCCTAGTCTCCGTGTTGTCTTTTATTTTCTTGATAATATACTTTGAAGAACCAAAGTTTTTCATTTTAATTTGAAGTCTAATTTCTTTTTCTTTTATCACTTCTGGTTTTGGTGTCATATCTAACAAACACTACTTATTCCAAGGTCATGAAGATTTACTATATTTTCTTTGAAGAGTTATATTTCTTAACTCTTACTTGAAGGTCTTTGATCTACTTTGAATGAATTTTTATATGATTTGAGAGAGGGGTCTAAATTTATTCTTTTGCATATGGATATACACTTGTCTAGATATACAGTTGACCTAAAACTACTTATTGTTCTGCCCCTGGTAACTTCTCTTGGCACCCTAGTCAAAATTCAAATGAGGGTTTATTTCTATACTATTCTGGATTATTTTCCATTCATCTGTATGTCTATCCTTATGCCAGTACTGTGTTGTCTTGGTTATAGTTTCTTTATTGTAGGTTTTGAAGTTGGGAAGTGTGAATCTTCCTACTCTGTTCTTTTTCAAGATTATCTTTACTGTTTTGGACTCCTTCTATTGTCATATAGATATTAGTATCAGTTTCTAAATTTATATAAAAAGACTTCTGGGACTTTGATAGGAAATACCTTGAATCTGTACATAAATTTGAGGAATGCTGCCATCTTAAAAATATTAATTCTTAGGACTGGAGGTGTGGCTCAAGTGCACCTGCTTTGCAAGCACAAAGCCCTGAGTTCAAACCCCAGTCCCACCAAAAAAAACAATTAATTCTTCAACCCATGAAAATCAGTTATATATGTTCCATAAAATGAATAGCACTTATTGGATATTTTTCAGTTTGTTTCAGCAATGTTTTATAGTTTTCAGTGTATAAGTCTTATACTTCTTTTATTAAATTTATTCCTTAGTATTTCATTCTTTTTGATAATACTGTAAATGGAATTGTTTTCTTAATTTCATGTTTGGCTTATTTATTTTTAAACTATAATCACAATTTTTTTTTTTTTTTTACTTTGTTAGGAAAAGGATGTTTATTTGGTTCTAGTCAGAGTTCTATCATGTCTACTTTCCTTGTAAGTTCAGCTTCAATGATATCCAATTCTCTCTTTGCTTCTTCAATTTTCACTTGAGCAAGAGATGGATTTCGGCATTAAATCTAAATAGGAACTCCAATTTTTTCTTCAAAAGGTACAGTCTGTCGTTTTTAGTTCTGCCAAGTTTCTCTGATAGTGCTACTACGGGACTGATGAGATAGGAGAACCATCCATAGCCTCTAGCTGAAAGCTGTTCCTCTGCAGCCTTTGATTCCAAGTCTGAACTCCTCTGACTTTGCTTTTAGGAAGTACCGTGTTTCTGAAGACGGACTGGTCGACTTTGCCCTTTCAGTAGACAGACTGCAAAGCTCTTGCCCTTCTTGAGATCATCTTTAGAACATTTTTTCTAATACTAAAGTTGCAGTCTAAGATTTTTTTCAAGTTTTCCCAATTCAAGCTTGATTTCTTCATTTTCTTGATTTGGTACGAGAATGATTCAGGCGTCAAATCATTTACTGCAGGGATAAAGCTTGCTAGTTGAGGTATCCTTTGTTTTCAAGGGCCAACTTGCACTGTCAACCAAAAGAAATTCATTATACCTAGAACCAGTGCCAGACAAATTGGCCTGGAGAAAAAATTTCACCACTGTCCATAAGAAAGGTCTTGAAAGATGCTTTGGGCTTCTGATTCACTCCCATTCGCTTGCTTTCTGTTTCAAGTCCTCTATTACCCAAGTGGACATCTCTGTCCCGGACTTGTTGTGTTCTGAAAGGTGATATAAAATCTCTGTGGTTCTTGGGTTCACTTCATACTGTGGAATAGGGTGATCCCCAAAGATTTTTTTCAACCAGGCAGCAACCTGCGATTCCTTCTCCTTCGCCTCCATCTCAGCGGCTCCCGCCACTCCACGCGCAACACCTCGCGCCACAATTTTTATATTAAATCTTTTATCATGAAACCTCACTGAACTCCTTTAGTAGTTGTAGCAAATTTTTCTGAACTCAGGATATTCTGCATATGAGATGAGATTGTGTGCAAGTAGAGATAGTTTTACTTCTCTCTTTATAATCTGAATCTTTCATTTAGTTCTCTTGTCTAATTACAATGATTAGAACTTTAGTATAACGTTGAATGAAAGGAATTAGAGTAAACATTTCATGAGAGAAGTATTCAGTCTTTATACATTAATATAATAGCAGTCTTTTTATCATTAAACTTGATAGCTAAAGACTTTTCCTAGATGTCTTTTATCTGGTTGAGGACATTTCCTTCAATTACTAAGTAATTTTTTTTAATGAAGGCTATGTTAGATTTCATCAAAGGTCTTCTCTGTGTTTTTTGGTCCTTTGCTCTATTAACATGATATAGTATGTTGATTTATATTTGGTTGTTAAACTAGCCTTATGTTCCTGGAATATATCCCAGTTGATCATGCTGTATAATATTTCCGCATGCTGTAGAATTCAGTGGCTGTATTTTGTCTGTCACCTGTATTCTTAAGTATGTGTACATGCATGTGTATTGTTCTGTAGTTCTCTTTTCCTTGTGATATTGAGTGCTTTAGGTTTCAGGACCACATAAAATGAAAGGAAGTGTTCCACACTCGTCTGTTTTCTAGAAGAGTTAGTGAAGGATTGGTATTGACTATTCCTAATGTTTTGTAATATTTAGTAAATATTATAAATGTTTTGTAATATATGCTATTTTGTATTGAAGCCATATGAGCCTTTGCTTTTCTTTTTGAGTAGTTTTAAAATTGTTAGTTCATCTCTTTTAACCAACATACTCCATTTTTTTTCTTTTTGAGCCAGATGCAGTAATTGTGTCTTTCTAGGAACTTGTCAATTTTATCTAAGTTACCTAATTTGTTGCCATATAGTTGTTCAGCCTTAAGGTATGGATAGTACTGTGTTAATTTTCTTTAATGTTACTTTTTAAAAGAAAGCTCAAACAATTTTGTAGAAAATTATAGCAAAGAATCGCATTTAAGGGCCAATTCCCCCCAAATATTGATTAAACAATAAAATTATTGTATGATTTTTCTTATGTAATCTCAAAAATTCATGAAAAGATATTAAGAATAAATAAAATCATTTTTATATCTCTACAGGTTGGTATCATGCGTGATCGTCTGATTCAGTTTATCTCCAAATTGCAATTTGCTGTTACTGTACTTTTGGCATCATGGACAGAAAAAAAACATCGAAAATCAACTGCCATTTTATGTATACTCAACATTATCTTCTCTCCATTCGTGTTGGTCATCATTGGTTTTTCTACACTACTTTCCTCTCCCCTACTCCCTCTCTTCACCCTTCCTGTGTTCTTGGTGGGGTTTCCCCGACCTATTCAGAGTTGGCCAGGAGCAGTGGGCACTACAGCTTGTGTGTGTGCAGATACGGTATACTACCACCAGATGGTCCCCAGCTTGACTGCTGCGTTGCAGACTGCAATGGCAGCTGGAAGTTTAGGTAAGTGAATGGGTTGTGCTTAAGAAATCCCTACGCTGTGAGGTTAGCCTGGGCCAAAAGACCAAAAATCGTATGTTCTCCCTCATATGTGGACATTAGATCAAGGGCAAACACAACAAGGGGATTGGACTTTGAGCACATGATAAAAGCGAGAGCACACACGGGAGGGGTGAGGATAGGTAAGACACAGAAAAATTAGCTAGCATTTGTTGCCCTTAACTCAGAGAAACTAAAGCAGATACCTTAAAAGCAACTGAGGCCAATAGGAAAAGGGGAACAGGTACTAGAGAAAAGGTTAGCTCAAAAAGAATTAACCTAGAAGGTAACACCCACGCACAGGAAATCAATGTGAGTCAATGCCCTGTATAGCTATCCTTATCTCAACCAGCAAAAACCCTTGTTCCTTCCTATTATAGCTTATACTCTCTCTACAACAAAATTAGAAATAAGGGCAAAATAGTTTCTGCTGGGTATTGAGGGGGTGGGTGGGAGAGGGAGGGGGCGGAGTGGGTGCTAAGGGAGGGGGTGGGGGCAGGGGGGAGAAATGAACCAAGCCTTGTATGCACATATGAATAATAAAAGAAAAAGGAAAAAAAAAATTGACCATAATCAAAAAAAAAAAAAAAATCCTTACTCTGGAGTAACCTGTGTCACAGTCTTTTGGGTATATCCCCAAGAGTGGTATTGCTGGATCAAATGGTAGATCAATGTCTAGCTTTTTAAGTAGCCTCCAAATTTTTTTCCAGAGTGGTTGTACTAGTTTACATTCCCACCAACAGTGTAAGAGGGTTCCTTTTTCCCCGCATCCTTGCCAACACCTGTTGGTGGTGGTGTTGCTAATGATGGCTATTCTAACGGGTGAGGTGGAATCTTAGTGTGGTTTTAATTTGCATTTCCTTTATTGCTAGAGATGGTGAGCATTTTTTCATGTGTTTTTTGGCCATTTGAATTTCTTCTTTTGAGAAAGTTCTGTTTAGTTCACTTGCCCATTTCTTTACTGGTTCATTAGTTTTGGGAGAATTTAGTTTTTTAAGTTCCCTATATATTCTGGTTATCAGTCCTTTGTCTGATGTGTAGCTGGCAAATATTTTCTCCCACTCTGTGGGTGTTCTCTTCAGTTTAGAGACCATTTCCTTTGATGAACAGAAGCTTTTTAGTTTTATGAAGTCCCATTTATCTATGCTATCTCTTAGTTGCTGTGCTGCTGGGGTTTCATTGAGAAAGTTCTTACCTATACCTACTAACCCAGAATATTTCCTACTCTTTCCTGTATCAACTTTAGAGTTTGGGGTCTGATATTAAGATCCTTGATCCATTTTGAGTTAATCTTGGTATAGGGTGATATACATGGATCTAATTTCAGTTTTTTGCAGACTGCTAACCAGTTTTCCCAGCAGTTTTTGTTGAAGAGGCTGCTTTTTCTCCATCGTGTATTTTTAGCGCCTTTGTCAAAGACAAGTTGCTTATAGTTGTGTGGCTTCATATCTGGGTCCTCTATTCTGTTCCACTGGTCTTCATGTCTGTTTTTGTGCCAGTACAATGCTGTTTTTATTGTTATTGGTTTGTAATATAGTTTGAAGTCAGGTATTGTGATACCTCCTGCATTGTTCTTTTGACTGAGTATTGCCTTGGCTATTCGTGGCCTCTTGTGTTTCCATATAAATTTAACAGTAGATTTTTCAATGTCTTTAATGAATGTCATTGGAATTTTGATGGGAATTGCATTAAACATGTAGATTACTTTTGGGAGTATCGACATTTTTACTATGTTGATTCTACCAATCCATGAGCATGGGAGACCTCTCCACTTTCTATAGTCTTCCTCCATCTCTTCAGAAGTTTATAGTTTTCCTTGTAGAGGTCTTTCACATCCTTTGTTAGGTTTAAATCTAGGTATTTGATTTTTTTTGAGGCTATTGTAAATGGAATTGTTTTCATATATTCTTTTTCAGTTTGTTCATTATTAGTGTATAGAACAAAATAGAAAACTTTTAAAAATATTTATATGCATGTGTATAGTAAAATGTCTAAAATCTTATAAGTCAATCAGAAATTATCATTTATATACTTAACACTTTTGCTAATATATTTAACATTTTATATAATAGATTCTAGTTTGTTGTTTTTCTGGAAAATATATCCTTTAGTTTTTATATATTAGCACATATGTACTGTCTCTTCCAACTGCTTGTAAAGAGTTTAATTTAATTCCTCCTAATATGCAATGAATAGTTATTTGTGTTATTGAACTAATAATAAGGCTAGAAGTTTTCAGTCAATTCTAGATGTATTATTTTGAACAAATGTGGCAAAATAAACAAGCTTAAAAAATTATTTTTTTTCTAATTTGTTCTAGGGCTTCTCTTACCTGGGTCTCATTACTTGGGCCGTTTTCAGGATCGTTTAATATGGATAGTGATTCTAGAATGTGGCTACACTTACTGCTGTGTTAACATCAAGGTCAGTGTGCACTTGAAACTTCTCAAGTAATTTTATAGTATGTGTATAAAATTTTACCTCTTATGTACATATTGAATAACTCATTTTGAAAGAAAATCCTTTTAATTACTCATTAAAAATACCTAACAGTTTTTAAAGATATATTTTAATAAGCACATATTGATAACTACTGTTTATTGTATAACAGAGTATGGTAAAAAAGCATACCTGCTTCCTTTTCTTCTCATCCTGTTCTTTTTATCCATGTCTAGTTGAACATCTCAAAAGTGTGAATCAGTAATATTTTTAATTCCTGTATCAGATAAGCATTTTTTGTTTAATTAAAACCATCTTCCCACCCCACTGCTTCTGCCTACTACACTATTTCTCTCCTTCCTTTAAGAGCAAAATTCTTTATTAGAATTGCTTGTTATCATATCTCCAATTTCATTTTTCCTGTTCTGTCTTTACCTAACTCTAGGTTTTTGACCCTATTTCTTCACCAAAACTGCTCTTGTCAAAGTATCTGTTGACTGTCATATTGCTAAATCCAGTGGTCTACTATCAGACCCATCTTACTTGACCTGTCAGCAGCATTTGACATAGTTATTCTCATCTTGATTCACAGGTTGCTCCTACTCAGCCTTCTTTGATTGTCCTCTCTTTTCCTTGACCTCTTTACATCACAGTATCCCGGAGCCTAGCAGTGCTTGGAGGTAACTGTACCCTTCTGGTTGCTCAAGCCAAGAGTAGTGGAGTCATTTTTGAATCTTTTTGCTTCTGTACCCCAAATTCAATCTAACAAGGAGTCCTTTTGGCTCTGCCTTTAAACCATATCGTTTGTCCTATCACTTTTCACCACTCCCGTCCCAGCCATGTTCTTCCCCTACTTGGTAATTGTAGTAGCCTCTCAATTGTTCTCCCTGTTGCTGCCTGTGCTCGCTACAGTCTATTGTTGACCTAACTGATTTTTAAAATCTAAGTCAGATCATGTCACTTTTCTCCTGAAAACCCTATATAGTTTTCAGGAAAAAGGTAAGTCCTAATTCTCTCTTTGGCCTCATCTACAACTTTAACCCTGTCATTCTATTCCAGTCTACTGCTACTCCCTCTCCATGGGACACTCTTACTTCAGATAATTCATGTATCTAATTTAATTTATACTTTCGGGTCTGTGCTCTCAATGCTGTCTTCTCAATAAGGTCTCTTATAGCCATCCTATTTAAAATTACAACCTGACTTTCATCCCAGCAATCCCAACTGTTGGCTTGCTTTCCTTTTTCTTTATTTCCATAGTGCTTACATCTTCTAACAAACTAAACAGTTTATTTATTAGTTTTACTATTGACTACCTATGTTCCCTCACTCTCTAATGTAAATTTCACAAGGGCAAAGATCCCTTAGTTTTATTTGGAACATATCCTAAGCCCCTGGAACAGTGCCTGGCACAGAACAGGCCTTTGATATTGCTGAATGAATAATGAATTTTTGTCTTAGCAGATTGAATAAAATTATGAGTCGCCAAAAAGCTTTAGACCATTGGTTCTCAAAATATAGTCCTTAGTCTAATAGCATTGCCATTTCCTGGAAATAAAAATTCTTTTCTTTTTTTGAGGGGGAGAGGGACAGTGAGTAGTACTAGGGTTTGAACTTAGAACCTCATGCTTGCTAGACAGGCACTCTACCACTTGATCCATGCTCCCACCCCTTTTGCTTTAGTTATTTTTTTAATATGGTCTCATGTTTATGCTGACTGATCTGGACCACAATCCTCCTATTTGTGTTTCCTGCGTCACTGGGATGACAGGCATGTGCCACCATGCCCAACTTTTATTGCTTAAGGTGATGGGGTCTCTTCACCCTGGCTGCCCTCAAACTGATTTTTCCCAATCTCTGCCTCCCAAGTGGCTAGGATTGCAAGCATGAGCCACAGTGACCGACACAAAAATGGAAATTTTTGAGCCCCATCCTGAATTTACTAAGTCAGAAGTTGTCCATCAATCTGCTTTAAAGAGTGTTCCATGTGATTCTGACTCACCTAACATGTGAGAACCTCTGCCTTAGTCCAACATATGCAAGTCTGAGAAGAAAAATCTTGTAAGCAATCAAGGACATTTTGATTGTCTAATTTTATTGTGCTTAAAGGTGTGGTATTATTAAACCACACCTTTAATAATACCTAATAATACCTTTTGTTTTTTATGCTTTAAAAAATACCACTTCATAGTGGTACTTTTTTTTTTTGGTAAGTTGACATAGGCTATGCCATTTACTCGTATTACTTAATCTCACAAACCTGTGTGCTAGGATTATTTTTCTCTGAAAGAGAAATAAAAGGAATCTCAGACAGGATAGGTAAAATACTCTAATTATATGCCAGCACACAGCTGGTAAGAGCCATAACTTAAAAATTGGTTCTGAAGGCACTAGCAATTTTGTAAAAAATGTAAATAAATTAACAGCAATAAACATAAACAGTGACCTGGTATGTCCTCAAGTGATTCCTTCTAATGAAGTAAACAAAATGTGCTTAAAATTTGCATAAGAACATATTCATAATATTCATTCACCCAATATTCATTTGTTGCATATTCCCTATGTACCACATATTGATTTGGGCATTGAGGATATAGTAGTAACCAAAAGACAGCTGCTTTATAAAGTTTATGCTGTGATTAGATAAAACTATTATCAAATCTGTTTTTTATATTATCATTAAAAAATTGGAGTGAATGTAAGTTGATGAATTATGGCACATTTAGAATGGGGGCCATCGCTCAAGTGGTAGAGACTTTCCTGGCAAGCATGAGGCTCTGAGTTCAATCCCCAGTATCACCAGAAAAAATGCTCTTAGTTTAATATAAAGTAGGATGGAAAGGCAAAACTCCTGAACATACTTTATAATTCCAATTTTACTTTTCCCCCAGAAAAAAAATCTGATTTAAAGGTTTTTAATGTGAGAATAAACCTTGACAATATAGTCTTATAAAAATATGTTTATACTCAGTAAAGTTCTTTGCTCAATTTCTAGTAGAATTTTCTATAATTTCTTTTGAAATAGTGGTAGCATTATTCTTAATCTCTCTACCCAATATCAAATGGGTTAAGTGCCATAAGTTAGCATGTTGTTCTTGAGTTAAAGAAATTATTTTCAGTTTTTTATATTTTTATAATGAGCACTTGTGGTGTTTACAAGACTAACTGTTGTTCTCTGTGTAATAATTCAAGTACTTTTTATTTGTCTCTAGGGGTTAGAATTGCAAGAAACATCCTGTCACACTGCTGAAGCCCGAAGAGTTGATGAAGTGTTTGAAGGTGCTTTTGGGCAAGAAGAAGACACACAAGTCTGTTCCCTTAATGAACACTTTGGAAATGTCCTGACACCCTGTACTCTTTTGCCTGTGAAACTATATTCTGATGCCAGGAGTATCCTATCTGGAATAATTGATTGTCATGAAAACTTAAAAGAATTTAAAGATGACCTTGTTAAAGTGCTTGTGTGGATACTTATTCAGTACTCCTCCAAAAGGCCGAGCATGCAGGAGAATATTCACGAAACTGAAAGTAAAGGAGAAACACCTCAAATAATCTTGCCTGCTTTGAACACTTCACCTCATCCCAAATCTACAGAAGACACAGATAGTTTAAATTCAGAAACTCTTGATGACTGGTCTGATAACATTTTTGATGATGAGCCAAACATCAAAAAAGGAAAAGATCAGCTCAAAGATTGGCCAGCTACAAATTTGCCTATTCCAGGATCAGTACCCTCACAGAGAGTTGATGATCATTCTACAGGCTCAGATCCTGAGTGTGATCTTTTCAAAACCATTTTGTTGGGATACCCTGCTATTGACAAAGGCAAACAAATAGACATGGCATATATCCCTCTCATGGAGTTCAGTTGTTCCCATTCTCATTTATTGAGCTTACCTGAAGAGTGGAGGCCTAACTGTATGCCTAATTCTAAAATGAAGGAGATGAGCTCGTTATTTCCAGAAGACTGGTACCAGTTTGTTTTAAGGCAGTTGGAATGCTTCCACTCACAAGAAAAGGCCTCAAGTATACTGGAAGACATTGCAAAGGACAAAGTTTTAAAAGACTTATATGTTCGTACAGTGATGACTTGTTATTTTAGTTTATTTGGAATAGACAATATGGCCCCTAGTCCTGGTCATATATTAAGAGTTTACAGTGGTGTTTTACCCTGGTCTAGTGCCTTGGATTGGCTCACAGAAAAACCAAAGCTGTTCCAACTAGCTCTGAAAGCATTCAGGTAACTCATTTTGATTGTGTACAAGTTGCATCATTGGCAGAAAAACGTTGATCATTTTCTAATCACCTAGAAGACTCTCCCATTTCCAATTTTTTAAAACATATCTTTCTTAAAAATGAAAACATAATTTTAGTATATATTGTGATTTTTATCAGCAGCACTCATTAATTTCTGCTTTGTTTTTGTTTATGTGAATAACCTAGTTTTTCATATAGCTTACTGGATTTCTTCATTTAACTACATTTCACTCTCAACTTTTTATCTGAAATCTAGACAAGTCAAATCTTAAAAATATTGCTTGAACAAATCTGTGTTCTTAAAATATTCTAAAATTGTTTGGGTCTCCATTTTTTAGGTATACACTAAAACTAATGATTGATAAAGCAAGTTTAGGTCCCATAGAAGACTTTAAAGAACTGACTACCTGCCTTGAAGAATATGAAAATGACTGGTACATTGGTTTAGTATCTGATGAAAAGTGGAAGGAAGCAGTTTTACAAGAAAAGCCATACTTGTTTTCTCTGGGATATGAGCCTAATATGGTAAGGATTAAAATGTTTTTAAACATTTTTAAACATCAACCTTAAAGATTGGAAATCACTTGTAAAATATTGAAACTAAGCGATAGATGATTTAACATCCCATCTGATGATAATACATTAATTACAAGGTATTTGTAGGCATAACTTTATGGTCAAGATAGTCCAATCTTAGGATAACTGATTCATTACTTTTGCCAACTGAGTAAGAGGCCATTAAAAATGTTGTGTAGACAATAGCTGACCTATAAGATAGCCAGGTATATGTAATTTGCTATTAATATATTTAACAAAATAAAAATAGATTGTATTCTTATGCCTAGTTTAATTGTAAGACTACTTTGATTTTAACTCCTAGAAGATAAATTAATTTGTAAATAACAAATTATTTCTTTTGCTGACATTTGTACTGTGAGAGACTCCTAATAGAAAATTTTTTTTTAAAGATTTAGTACTTGTTTTTATTATTAAAATGCCCTTATTTTTGCACAACATGAAAGATTCAATGTTACAAGCCTATCATGAGTTCCAAGTTTCTCTAGTATTGTAGTATGAGGTGCTCTATAAATGCTGTACCCAACAACACTGATGAAAAATATTTTTAAAAACAGCTTAAACTCTCAGAAATTGTACTAAGGACATACAGCAAATGAAGAAACATTAATTCAGGAAAAGCTACTAATACCCATTAAGAACAACAAGAAACCAGTAGTTGAACCAAGTCCTACTGCTTCCCCCCTTGCAAAACAGAAACTCCATTCAAACTGATACAACCAAGAACACATGGCTGTCTCTCTCTTCTGCTCCAAGTTGGAGGACAGTTTTCCCAGGAGGGACAGGAGTTCACTATTTCTCATCCTATTTCCAGCCACATGTTACTGAGGCTAAATTCTAGGCATATGTAGTCAAGAAGTGGGCTCCCTTCTGGCCAACCCTACTCATAAGATAGAGGCTTTATCTTGGGCATGTTATCACTGAGAATACTGGGCCTCTGATCATCCTTTTACTCATAATATATAGGTTGAAGAGGTAAGCTGAAAAGACCTTTAGCTCCAATTCCCCCTCTACTAAGTGCTTATCTCCTAAAACAGAGTGTCACTCTGAGGGAAACATGTTATTGTTCTACTTCTCTGCTTCAGAGATTTTGAAAATGCTCTGACCAAAGAACTGGCTCATTTGCAATAGTGTAGACTCATCGAAGCCTAAGATGCTTTCAAAAATAACAGCAGCTCTATCTGTCTTTCTGTCTGTCTAGAACATGTTTGCACTATAGTGGAACTGTTTGACAGGAGTGAGAGAAAAAGAATGAGACAGAGTGAATAATATTGAATTACATTGCATCTGTTTAGGAAGAAAGTATAATGAAATGCACTGCAAGCTGTTGAATAGTAGGAAATGAGAAAGGGTAAGGAAGAGTAATAGAGGGGGTTAAGCTGATTAAAGTACAACATATTCACTGGTGAAATACCATGGCAAAACTCCTTTGAAGGATGAACATAAAAAATGAACTTAAATAATGAAGGACCATATTATAAAATAGGTCCTGCAAGGGGCAGGGTACTAATGAAAGAGGGAGGGTGAATGGAAAAGGTAAAGGAGGGTGAATATATGGTCAGTGTACTTTATATATTGCATGAAAATGGAACATTGTAACCTGTCAAAATCATTTTAAGTAGGGGAGAGGGGGAGGAAGGAGATTGATGGTGGGGATGAACCTAACCAAGGTACATTGTAAGCATGTATAGAAATGTCACAGTGAAAGTCCCTGTACAACTAATATATGCTAATAAAATTTTCAAATAAAGAAGATAAACAATAGGAAGAGAATTTCAGAGAAATATGGAGTACCATTCATTGTACCAACATACACATACTGGTGCCACAAGGAGAGAGGGGAGAAAGGTAAAAATGCATTTAAAGAAATAATGGCTGAAAACTTCCCAAAATTATTGAAAAAGGTTAATCTACACATCCAGAAGGCTGAGTGAACTTTAAGGAAGATAAATACGAAGTGATCCACAAGTAAACACATTGTGGTAAAAATGCTGAGATCCAAACACTAGGAGCAATTTTGAAACCCTAAGCAAAAATGACTTGTAAGTCATCAGAAACAGTGGAATGACTATTCAAAGTTCTTAAAAGAAAACAACAATGGTGCCAGTGGCTCATGCCTATAATCCTAGCTACTCAAGAGTCAGATCAGGAGGATGGTGGCTCACACCTGTAATCCTAACTACTTGGAAGACAGAGATCAGGAAGATCGTGGTTCGAAGCCAGCCCAGGCAAATAGTTTGGGAGGTCCTATCTCAAAAATAGACCCAACACAAAAAAGGACTGGTGGAGTGGCTCAAGCAGTAGAGTGCCTGCCTGGGAAACAGACCCTGAGTTCAAACCCCAGTACTGCCAAAAGAAAAAAAAATTCAGCAAAGAGAATTTTGAAAAGTGCAAGCAAAATAAAGACATTCCCAGGTAAATAAAAGGGGAGAATTTATTGCTCCACCCCATTACAAGAAGCAGTAAAGGGGTTCTCTAGGCTGAGTGCTCATATCCCCTGAATGCACATGGGGATAATTCAAATTCCACAAAAAACAAAGAGCACCAGTAAGATAATTACATAATTATAAAAAATAAATGCATATTTCTCCTTCCCCTATTTGAAAAGAATTTTATAAAACAATAGGTATTTAGGGTATTCTTAGGCCTGTAACACATAGAAATGTAATATACTTGTCAATAATTACACAAAGGAGGTTACTGGGAAGCAAAGTTGTATTGGACAAAGAAACTGACTCCAGATGATAACTTGAATCTACAAGAATAAAGAAAGAGAATGAAAAATTATAAACAACAAAGACAATAAATATATACATGTTCCTTTTTCATTCATCTTCTTTAAAAGGCATAAAAATATACAAAGATGATTATAACAATGTATTACTGTGTGTAACATTTACAGGTGTAATATATAGAGCAATAATATCACAAAAAGGAGGAAACTACATAAGAGTAATTAAAGCTGGCTGTAAATTAAAGTTGACTCTAATAAGTTAAAACAGATGGTAACTTGCAACAACTGAGGAAATAGCTGGGGAAAGAAAGTAAAAAGAAAAAAATTAAAATGCTATGTTAAAAATACTTAAGAAAATAGTAAAAGGAATAGAGAGACAGAAAAAGGCCAGAAACATAGAAGATAAAAACAGAAATGATAGACAAAAACCTAACTATATCAATTGGAACCTTAAATGGGAGTAACTAAATCTAAGTGAAAGGCAGAGATGGTCAGATTGAATAAAAAAGCAAGATCCAACTCAACATGAGACACACATTAGATTCAAACATATAAAAATTCAAAATACATGAAGTTGAAAGTAAAAAGATGGAAAAAGATGTACCTTGAAAATAGTAACCTCAAGAAAGCTGGAATAATTACACTAATAACAAAACAAGTAGACTTTAAAACAAATAATAGTACTAGAGATTAAAAGGAACATTTTAAAATGACAAAAGACTCAGTCCCTCAGAAAGATATAGCAATTATAAATATTTATACAGCTAATAAAAGAGCACCAAAATACATGAAGAAAAAACTGATAGAACTGAAGGGAGAAATAGATATTTCAACAAAACTAACTGCAGACTTCATTATTCCACTTTCAATCATGAATAGGTTATAAAAATTAGAAATAGATTTGAATACTATAAACCAAAGATACCAAACAGACAACTATAGGATATTTGACCCAACAACAACAGTAACAACAGAATGTGCATTCTTTTCAAGTGCACATAGAATATTGTCCAAAATAAACCATATGCTAGTAGGACATGAAATAAACTTCAATAAATGTAAAAGGATTAATGTAATACAAAGTATGTCCTCTTTCCATAATAAGATAAAATTAAAAGTAAGAGAAAGAAATTTAGGAAACTCACAAACATGGAAATGAAACACATTTCTAAGTCACCAGAGGGTCAAAGAAGAAATCCAAAGAGAAAATACATTGAAATGAAAGAAAATGAAGACACATATATGGGAATGGTACGAAGGCAGTCCTTTAAGAGAAACATACAGCTATACAATACATTAAAAAAGAAGCAGCAAGGTTGAGTGCCAGTTGCTCATGCCTGTAATCCTAGCCACATGAGAAGTAGAGATTGGGAGCATCATGATTTAAAGCCAGCCTGGGCAAAAAGTTTGGGAGACTTCATCTCAACCAATATTTGGGCATGGTGGCACATACCTGCCATACCAGCTGTATAGAGAAGCACAAATAGGATTACAGTCCAGGCCAGCCCACTCATGAAGCAAGAACTTATCTCAAAAAGAACCAAAAAAGGGCTGTTAGCATGGTTCAAGTGATAGAGTACCTGCCTAGAAAACACAAGGCCCTGAGTTCAACCCTCAGTACCATGAAGGAAAAAGCAAAAGGGACAGCATCTCAAATCAGCACTACCTTCTACCCTAAGATACTGGAAAAAGAAGAGCAAACTAAACTTGAAGCAAGCAGAAAGAATTTGTAAAGATTTAGAGTGGTTAACTATGAAATAGAAAAGAGAAAAACAATATGGAAAATCAATGAAACCAATAGCAGATTCTTTGAAGATATCAACAAAACTGAAAAAACCTCTAGCTAGTTTGACCAAGAAAAAAAGAAGGCCAAACTTAGTAGAATCAGAAAGGAAAGAGGAGATATTACCCCTGACCTTATAGGAATAAAAATGATCATGAAGGAATACTGTGAACACTTGTATGTCAGTAAATTATATAACTTAAGGTGAATTCCTACAAAGACAAACTGACTCAAGAAAAAAGAAACAAGGTCAGGTGTCATGGTCCAAGCCTATAATCTCAGCACTCAGGAAGCTGAGATGGGAAGATTCAAGTGTGAGGCCAGTTTGGGCTACCTAATGAGATTCTGTGTCAGAAAGAAAAGGAAAGGAAAGGGGAAATGAAGAAAGAAAGGAGGGAGAGAGGGAGGAAGGAAAGAAGGAAGGAAGGAAGG